AGTTGGCAAGAATTGGTGTTAGTTCTTTAAGTGTTTAGTAGAATTCAACAGTGAAGCCATTTGGTTTAGGGCTTTTCTTTCTTGGGAAGTTTTTTGATTGCTAATTCAATCTCCCTGCTGCTTATAAATTTATTCTGATTTTCTATTTCTTCATGATTCAGTCTTGGTAGATTTTGCGTTTCTAGAAATTTATGCAATGCGTCTAGGTTATCCAATTTTTTGGTATACATTGTTCATAGTACTCTCTTATAATTCTTTTTATTTCTATAGACTCTATAGTACTGTCCCAAATTGGATATCTGTTTTTAGTAATCTGAGTGTTCCCTTTTTTCCCCCTAGTTGATCTAGCTCAAGGTTTGTCAATTTTGTTGATCTTTTCCAAGAACCAAATCTTCGTTATGTTTTTTTCTCTACTGGTTTTCTAGTATTTATTTTCTTTATTTCTGCTCTAATTTTTTCATTTCTTTCCTCCTGCTAGTCCTGGATTGTTTCTTTTGCTAGTCCCTCAAGGCATAAAGTTAGGTTGTTGATTTAAAATCTTTTTTCTTTTTTTTTGTAAACATTTGCAGTTATAATTTTCTACCTTAGTACTACTTTTGCTACATATTATAAGTTTTGTTATATGGTCTTTTCATTTTCATTTTTTCCCAAGTATTATTTAATATTATAATTTTTCCTTTGACCCTTTGATTGTTTAAGAGTCTGTTACTTAGTTTCCACATATATGTGAATTTTCCAGCTTTAATTCTGATAATGATTTCTATTTTCATTCCATTTTGATCAGAAAAGATACTTTATATGATTTCCATCTTTTAAAATTCATTAAGACTTGTTTTGTGGCCTAATATATGATCCATCCTTGAAAATGTTCTATGTGTACCTTAGAAAATCATGTATTCTATTTTTGTTGGATGGAGTGTTCTGTATATGTCTATTAAGTCCAAATGATCTATAGTGTTGTTCAAGTCCTCTATTCTGTATTGATCTTCTTTCTGGTTGTTCTACCCATTGTTGAAAATAGGAAATTGTAGTCTCCTGCTTTTATTGTTGAGTGGTCTATTTCTTTCAATTCTGTCAATGTTTTTGTCACATATTTTGCTGCTCTGATATTTGGTGTATATGTGTTTAGAATTGTTCTATCTTTTCGGTAATTTGACCTTTTTATCAATATAAAATGTCCTTGTTTTGTCTCTTGTAACAGTGTTTGATATAAATTCTTTTATGTCTAATATAAGTATAACTACATCAGCTCTCTTTTCTTTACTATTTTCATGGGATTTATTTTCACATTCTTTCAATTTCACCTGTGTGTGCCCTTAGATCTAAATGAGTTTCTGGCTGACAACATATTGTTGGACCATGTTTTTTTCAAAAAATCCGTTCTACCAATCTATGTCTTTTGATTGAGGAGTTTAATCCACTTAAATTTTACTGGGGGAGTTTAATCCATTTTGATTGGATGAGTTTAACCTATTTACATTTGAAGTAGTTACTGATAGGGAAGAACTTATTTTTGCCATTTTGTTATTTATTTATTATACGTCTTACTGCTTTTTTGTCCCTCATTTTCTCCATTTCTGCCTTCCTTTGTGTTTAGATGATCTTTTGTAGTGACACATTTTGATTCCTTTCACATTTACTTTTGTGTATATTCTGCACGTGTTTTCTTTGTGTATACCAAGACATTACATGTGACACACTTATGTTATAACATCTATTTTGAATAGATACCAACTTAACTTCAATTGCATTCAAAAACTCTGTTCCTTTCTGCTCTGCCAACCCCCCTCCACTTTATGTTATTGATATAAAAAGTTACATCTTTATATATTGTGTATCCACTAACATGGATTTATAATATTTTAAGCATTTGTCTCTTAAATACTGTAGAAAATAAAAGTGGAGTTATAACCCCAAATTGCAATAATACTGTTTTTATATTTAGCCATGTATTTCCTTTTCTCAGAGATCTTTAAATCTTCATATGGTTTCCAGTTATTGTCTAACATCCTTTGATTTCAACCTGAAGGACTCCCTGTAGCATTTCTTGTAGGGCAGATCTAGTAGTAATGAAACCTTTAGCTTCTGTTTACCTGGCAATGTTTTAATTTCTACCTCATTTTAGAAGGGAGTTTTTGTTGAATGTAGTATTTTTGATTGATAGTTTTTCTTCTTTCAGCACTTTAAAAATATCATTCTACTGCCTTATGACCTCCAAGGTTTTGCTGAGAAATTGGCTGATAATCTTATTGCATGTGATAATTTGCTTCTGTCTCATTGCTTTCAGATTCTCTCTTTGTCTTTTAACAGTTTGATTATAATATGTCTCAGTGTGGGTCTCTATGGATTTATCCTACTTAGACCTTGTTGAGCTTCTTGCATTTGTCAATTCATGTCTTTCATCATATTGGAGATTTTTGGGCCATTATTTCTTCAAATAATCTCTCTGCCTCCCTCTCCCTCTTCTCCTCCCGGGACTCCCATAATGTGTATATCAGTCTGATGGTGGGATCCCATAAATGTCTTAGGCTATGTTCAATTTTCTTTATTCTGGGCCATATTTTCCTGATTCTTTGTATTCCTCATGATTTTGTTGTTGTTTTTGAAAAGTGGGCACTTACAAAAACAGTCACCTTTCTCAATCTTTGCCTACTGGCTTTGTTCCAAGGAAGCCCTTCACTAATTATCTGGGCTTTGGTTTGGGGTCTTGGAATTAACCTAAGGAGAAACCTTAAGGTCTTTTATGTATTTTCTGAGTATACGTCTTCTCTGGGCCTGTGTGTAGCTTTTTCAATTTTCCCATATACATACTGCATTTAAATGTCTTAATTTCCCAAAGAGTCTTTCTCTGGGACCTTCAATGGTCTATTTTTTGTCTTCACTCTGAAAAGGAAAAATTCTGTTTCTCTTCTCCTCTCCTTTCCACTCTGTTCTTAATAATTATGCTCACCAACATGTGTGGGCACACTAAATAGTTTTCCCAAACTAAAAACTTCTGACAATAACTGCCTGGAGTTAGTCCATACCCCACAGGTTAAGGGCTTACTTCCACAAATCTGCCCCACTTCAGATGCTGATCACAAGTGCAGTTTGTCACCCGTGCTTCTGACTAACTGGCTATAAATTAGAGGTCCCACAATATCTTCCTCAAATTCAGTAATTTGATAGAATGGATTTTATTTGACAGAATGGATTGCAGAAGTCAGGAAGAAGGTTTACTAGTTTACTGGTTTATTTAAAAAAAGCATACAATTCAGGAATGGCAAGATGAAAGAGACACATAGAATTAAGTATCAGAGAAGGAGTGTGGAGGCCTCCATGCCCTCTCCAGGAGTGCCCTCCTCTGATCACCTCCACATGTTTAGCAATGCAGAAGCTCTCTGAACCCCTTCAGTTAAGGTTTCTTATGGAGGCTTCATTAAATAGGCATGATTGTTTAAATCATTGGCCATTGGTGATTGACTTGACCTCTAGCCCCTTTCCCCTCCCCAGAGGTTTGGGGGTGAGGCCCAAAGTTCCAAATCTCTAATTAATTGATTGGTTCCCTTAGCAATCAGCCTTTATTCTATGAGTATCTATGGACTTCAAAAAATCATCTCATTAACATAAATTCAGGTGTGATTAAAAGGGGCTTGTTATAAATAACCAGACTCTTCTTTTACTTTCATCTGTCTGTAGCTATTTCAGGAACTGAGGACAAAAGACCAAATATTATAACAAGAGATGCTGCCATCACTATCATTACTTTGGAAATTACAGGGGTTTTAGGAGCTGTGTGCCAGCAATGGGGATGTAGATCAAATGTATATTTTTTATTGTAAATCACATCAAACACCCATAATGACGTGCTTCAGGTGTCTGCAGGTTAGTCTCCCTGCAGCTTTCCCAAGCAATGCCCGCTGCTTCTCCCTGACTGAAATGTAAATTAGTTGAAACAGAGACCGGTCCTTCAAGCAGCATCTGACAACTTAGAACATTATGAATAAAGTCTGCTCTGCCCATCCAGTTTGAAGGAGGGAATTGAGAACAGGGCTGCTGCTATAAATGGCCTGTTTTATGTCTTCACTCATAATCTCTTACACCAGGCTTCTGTGGGTCAGTCTGAAGTTTTCCTGAGCAATGCCCACTGCTTCTTTCCACCTGAGATTTAAGTTATGCCACAACTTCTCCCTCCCCCCATTCCTGTTTGTAATCCGTGTGAAGTGGAACAAAGATGAAGAGGTAGCCCCAGACAGATTAGAACATTGCAAATAACTTCTGTGCTGTTCCCTCTGGATCAAGGGAGGGAATTGGGAACTAGATTGCCACCTCCTCCAGACAAAAACTGCAATACACAGGGGAGTGGATGGGACAAGGACAAGCAAAAACACCACAGAATTTTCAACCATTTTGAATGTGGCTTTTTCTCAATGAGGTGTTTGCTTGGCTGCTTTAGATCTTTGACTTTTTTTGCAGAGCTACCACAAGGTTATTTTAGCCAATTTTGGGGTTGTTTTTTGATGTCTCTGTGGGGACACAAGGGCTTAGAGCTTCCTACTCTGCGTTTTTTCTCAGTTGTCTACGTTTTTAATCCTGGCTTTATGACTTATTCACTTAGCCTTAATGAAACTCATTTCTCTCATTTACAAAGTAGACATAATAATTTCTTGTAAGTATCAACGTAGCTGGTATGTAAGGTATGTATCATAGGGCTTGGTATATTATAGTCCCTCAGCACATAATAACAATTACTTGAGGTATTTGTTCAAGTAATTGAACAACTACTTGAAGTAAAACATTATTATTATTGAAGTAAAACTTTTGAGAATGATAATACCCTATGTTTCATCACCAATATCATCAGAGATTTAAGGGGATGATGGAAGAAGCCCTTTGCATTATGGTAATTCTAGGTTATATTTTGTCTCAGAGAAAGTATAGAAGTCTCACCCAGTTCTAAGTTGATGGGTGCTTTGTGTAACTCTGAGTCAGAGAATGACTTTGTAATCTTATTTCTCCTGGGATGCTCTTCTAGGTTGGTGGGTTGCCATGGCATCTGGACCTGACGTGATGGCTCCCATTTGTCTGGTGGAAAACAACAATGAGAAGCTGTCAGTGAACCAGAAAGCTATAGAGATTCTTGACAAAATTTCTCAACCAGTGGTGGTGGTGGCCATTGTAGGGCTGTATCGTACAGGCAAATCCTATTTGATGAACCGTCTTGCAGGCCAGAATGATGGTGAGTGTTGTACTGGGTCAGAAGCCAATTGCTAGTTATATCTCCCCTTCTTAATGTTCTTCCCTTGTCCCATGAAGGGGGAACCAATCTCCTCTCAATAAACCAAACTTCTAATTCCAATTGTCACCTCCAAATTTCTACCTTACTGTAATTTGTTACCACAGTCTTTGTTTTACTCCCGTTAAGGAAACTGTCCTACTAATGCTCAGATTACTACCTTCCTTTACCTGTGTAAGCCCTTGACTCTTGCAATTGTGTATCTTCTCTCTCACAGCATATTTTGCTTTCTCTGTGGAATATTCCCATGAACATATAAAGATGTTTGACTATCTACCATCTTAAAAATCCTTTGTGGAGTTCACATCCCACTGTGGCTAACAATCCCCCACCCCCTTTTTCTTACCACTTTACCCAGGAAAAATATGTCCATTTCCTTTTTCCACTTCCCATGTCTCTCTTCAGTTTAGTTTTATCTGGCTTTGAACCTCACTGTTCTTTCAAAATGTTCTTGTTATGGTTATCAATCACCTTCATTTTGTCTGATTCATGGATGCCTCTTTGTCTTCATCTTGAGCCCTTGCTTGGCATGACTCTAACAGTTAATATCCCCTCCTCTCTGAAATAGATGACACACAAAGTAAGACATTCTTGAGGACATAGAGAAAGCACCCTCTTTTATGCTGGGGTGCTTATATTCTGACAAGTCGGACTTTGTAGCCTCTTGGCTGCTTAGATCATCTGCTGTCACTGTATGTTGCTTTCTCCTGTTCCCTTGCAGGTTTCCCTCTGGGCTCTACTGTGCAGTCTGAAACCAAGGGTATCTGGATGTGGTGTGTGCCTCACCCCTTTAAGCCTGACTGTACCCTGGTCCTTCTGGATACTGAGGGCCTAGGGGATGTGGAAAAGGTAAGGCAGAGAGTTACAGATAAATCTTTTATTCTGAATTTTCTCCTTATCTCTTCATGATACTTTGTAATTTAACTGCTGGAATCTGTTTATGAAATCTAGAAGTCCAGCTATAGTAAATGAGGCAAACTTTGGTTTTTTCGAATCTCACTTCTAGGTAAGATACCATGGTATATGGAGTAAAATTTTCTGTTATTTCTTGGCAGTAGGTGAATGATTTGATTCAGTTTAAGAAGTAATTAGTGAATAACTGATTCTTGGGTCTCTGGATTAGTACTGCAGGTATTAATGACCAAAGTAAAGGTCTTCCCCTCAAAGAGTCTTTAGTCTGATGGATAAAGAGCCTATAGAGCATTATGGAAGGCTTTGAGACACCTCTGAATGCACTGGTTCTAGAAAAGCACGTGTTTGTCTTACAACAAACATTTAAAGATGGATTTTTGGTATTTTAGCTTTCTACTAATGGGTGAAATGAATGATCTCTCCTATTTTGCCTTACTTTGAGACTTATCTGGAAATAGTATCTAAATTTCTACAGGTCTCCATTTCTACTTAAAGAAAAATTAGAAGCTCTGTGTTTATTTTTAAAGCCATATATCAAACAAGGATATAATCTTGTTGTCTAAATAATTTGTTTGTCATAAGTACCACTCCTTCTCATTCTAATTGATTACTTTTAAAAAATTGGGGTTTGGGGAAATAAATTAATGAATAGGATTTTTTCCGCCAAACTGTCATATAGAGTTTTCTAGGCATAAATCTCAACTTTTACATTTGTTCTAGGGAACAGCTTTAGACACTCTTTGTAGGAGAAATAATTTCTGGATTTTACTATTATGTAGACAATGCTGTAGTTTATACAAACAAAGTAGCCTGGCCTTTAAGGCTCTTTATCAGGCTGCACTAGAGCTCACCCTCCTGCCTTAACTTCTGCATAGACCCTCTGCTCCAGTCAAATCAAATAACTCTATTTTTATTTCAAAGACCTCTGTATTCTCCCATCACTAATTTTGCTTCTTTGGGTTTTTCTATATGTGGGGTCACCTTCCTTTCTTCAAGTCCACATTTTACCAATTCTTTAACACTCAGCTCAAGGTTTTGAGGAAGCCTTCGTATCACACACTTTTTCTCCAACTTTCATAGCTCTACTCTTCCTTGGTAGACTTCTAAATTTTAATTTAATATTATATCTATAGATTCCACTGCTTATATAAATTGCGAATACCTAAGTTGTTTGTAGATATTGTCATCTTTGCTGCATTCATTATTGTGGATATTTGTCACCACTTTGAAATGGTCAGCTTGAAAGTAATAATTGTCATTTTAAACTTTGCTTTTTAAAACTCTATGAACAGTGAGAAACATTCAGTAGCTTCCTATAAGCATTTATTGAATTTAATTGGCTATAATTTGAATCCCCAGTTACGTCAACTATAATACATTTTGTATGGCCTATGACCAACAAATATATGTAGAGCGAATAAGTAACACCCACCATTGAATGCCTAATTGCACATCAGATACTATACTAGCTTTTATATATGTTATTGTATCTCATCCAATTGAGGAAAAAGAAAGCCTTATGAAGATTAGAATCCTTTTATATATGGAAAAATCACAATCACAAAAAAGTCTTTGTACTTGTCAAAGCTGGTGTCTGTATTTATGTCTGTTTTCAAGTTTATTTCTTTGCATCGTGAGTAGGTTAGATGTGTTATCTTACAAAGCAAATTGCCAGTTATTTTACCCTCAAATGAATGTATTCAGAAATAGCTAAAAGAATTGCAATTCAGGATGTGCATTCCATGGCAAACCATAGGCCCATCTGGCAAACAAAAGAAAGGCCTTACTCTTAAGAGAAAAAGGGAGAGTAGGGAGGGGCTATTCTAAGCAAAAGCCCATTGGGAGAAAGTAACAGTTCAAGATGGCAATGGCTTCCCATTGGCTGAGCTGTGGCGTTTCTCATTGATTGGGCAGTTGCTAGCTGGTAAGAGAAATCTTCCTTCAGCAGTAAGGTAGTTGTACTTCCTGAGAGAGATAGAAGCCTATGTCTCTTCCTGTTTGGAGTAATTGATGATGCATGATAGGGTGTAAAATTTCACCCTACAAGCCTTCCTGACTTTAATTTGGTTGAAGTTTCTCTTATTCATTTCATAGATGAAATAACAAGTGAAAGACTGATGGAATAAGTGTCTGAATGAATTTTTAGAGGGTAAACCCCTAAACCTTTTGCTCAAATGTGCTTTCTAGGGCGACCCTAAGAATGACTCGTGGATCTTTGCCCTGGCCGTGCTTCTGTGTAGCAGCTTTGTCTACAACAGCATGAGCACCATCAACCACCAGGCCCTGGAGCAGCTGCAGTATCCTTCCAGGAACTAACCACCCAGTTTCATTGAGTTTATGGGAATGGAGATGGAGTCAGTTTCTTTTTCCCTGTCAATTAGTTGTCTTTGGTGGAGCAGAAGGGACCCAGGGCAAAAGAGAGTATTTATAATAATTTTTTATTAGAGAAATGTGGGAATTGTGGATACTCCTTAGCCATTTCCTAGTTATGTGACAGAACTCACAGAACTTATAAGGACAAAGTCCTCCCCTGGGTCAGATGAAATAGAAGATTCCACAGAGTTTGTGAGTTTCTTTCCAGACTTTATCTGGACTGTACGGGATTTCACCCTGGAGCTGAAGTTAAATGGTCGCCATATCACAGAAGATGAGTACCTGGAGAATGCCTTGAAGCTGATTCAAGGTGTCAGAGCATGGCCTGGGTAGTGGATAGTCCAATAGAGGGTGGGATCTAGTAAACACTGTCTGTCATCTTTGGGGTTGCATTTGTATTTAGACTAGATCAAAATCTGTAGAAATAGTGACTGGAAGGTGGGCTGAAAAACTCTAGAGACAGGTGTTTAAGTTCACTTTAGAAAAGTAGAGCCTAAAGTAGAGTAAGATGATTCAAAACCAATTTGTTCTGTACACAATTTGTAACTTAGCAGCCAGATTACAATGGGTGCTAAAACTTTCTAAAGGCCAGATACTTATGTTCCCTAACTTGGCTTCTGCTTTTCTGTGTTGAGGAAAACAACAGACCAGGTAGTTGTTAGACATGAAATTACAATGAAATGCTTATCCAAAGAAAAAATATCTTTCACACAGATATTATCCTTCTGAAATAGGGATATAATTTCTAATGCTTGCATGGATATATCATTTGCAAAAAATGACTTTGTGTTCTAAATAAACCTGAATAATATGTGTCTTTTCAATCTACATTTTTGCAATATCTCTGATAATTATTAGAACTAGAGAATTATAGAATTATTAGAATTATTATTATTTCCATATACTAGCTTTCTCTTACACACATTTTTCCCTTTCTCTACACATTTACCCATGCTATCATTTCAAAATAATAAATTATTTTAAGGGTTAAGTGAATGGGTGTGTATCTGATGAAATCTTGAGAGAAATATCAATTCTGATATATTCAGTCTTGCTTTCATGTTTCTATTTATGTTTTCTCAAAACATTTATGGAGAATTTTAGTAGGCAGAAGATCAACACTGTCAAAGAAAATATAGTTCTTTATCTTAAAGAGTTTATGGTGTAGTGGTGACATCTTAAAATTACATTTTAGTTACATTTACTCTTCAAAGATTTTTGCTAAAAAATAGCTAATACTATACACATTATTTTTAGCATCAAAGTAGTTTTCCTTAATTAATCAGGGCGTCATTCCTAATATCATCCATTATTCCTTGTTTGTGGCTGTTCTTTTTGGTCCCACAGCTCAATTTGTACACGGGATCGAGTAGACCAAAAAGTTACATTTGACCTTTCATTCTTATAGCCATTCATTCAGTAAACATCTAATAGACAATTACTTTACCATGTTCAGGTCTGGGGAAATTAGTTGTAGGTTCTTTTATTTGCGTCATATGTCTGCCCAATGTCTCTCCAGAGTTGCATAAGTTTGATGTGCAAAGAAGTATTGAATGTCTATGTTAAAGGAATTGTAAGCATAGAAGATGGCCAAGATAAAAAAAAATCCCTGTGATAAAAATCTTTAGCTGCCTTGCCCCAAGACTGTTCCCACTGTAATCCCTGTTTTTTTTTTTTTTTTTTTGCTTGAGGACAATTGTCCCTGAGCTAATATCTGTGCCAATCTTCCTCTACTTTGCATGTGGGACACCGTCATAACATGGCTTGATGAGTGGTGTGTAGGTCTGCACCTGGGATCTGAACCTGTGGGCTGCCGAAGGGGAGTATGTGAACTTAACCACTACAGCACCGGGCAGGCCCCAGTAATCTCTGTTTTTTCTATGCTACAGGCAAGAATCCCAAAGTCCAAGCATCCAATCTACCCAGAGAGTGCATCAGGCATTTCTTTCCAAAACGCAAGTGCTTTGTCTTTGACCGGCCAACAAATGACAAAGTACTCCTAGCCAATATTGATAATGTGTTAGAAAACCAACTGGATCCTAAATTCCAGGAACAAACAAACAATTTCTGTTGCTACATCTTCACTTCTGCAAGGACCAAGACTCTGAGAGAGGGAATCACGGTCACAGGGAAACGTGAGTCTCCTTTTCACATTTGTGTGGGGCCTAATTTATGTAGAATATATTATATGATGTTTTTTCTAGCATTTTTATTTGATTCTATATAGAATTATGCGTACACAAATGTTCATACTTCATGAAGAAGTTTGTATACTTTATAAATATCACACTTTTTGGAATTTACAAATTCCTGTCCAGAATTAAAAACTTTATCGGTTATACCTGTAGCTTCCACATTTCTGAAAAAATACTCTACTGATAATAAAATCACTAACTAAGTATAAATACAGAAAATAATATTTTCTCAGGGAAGTCCTTTGTAATTTGCAAGGAGAATACAAAAGAGATTTTGGGAGTTTAGTACAGTTCAAGAATAAATATTAGACCATAAATCCCTGAAAATCCATTGGAAGCTGCAGAATTAGGAATAAATATAATCTGATTTACCCTGCATCATCTGTCTACCTATGTAATCTATTTTACTTTCAATTTTTTAAGTGGGAAATTGGGTTTTCCATAGCTCACGGTAAATATTTAAGTTTTTTAGCCCTGTGGCCAGGAGAACTGTAAAAATGAAGAGTCAGTAGGAAAAAAAGGTGATGCTAATAGAAGGAGATAGGTTGTGTGTGTGTGTGTGTGTGTGTGTGTGTGTGTGTGTGTGTGATTTAGAAGTGTCTCAGAATCTTGGACCTGTTGAGTGATAACTTGATATTTATCCCCTAAATTTCCTGGCTTATTCAGGGCTGAGCACTCTGGTGGTGACCTACGTGGATAGCATCAATAGTGGAGCAGTGCCTTGTCTGGAGAACGCAGTGAGAACTCTGGCCCAGCTTGAGAACTCAGCGGCCGTGCAGAAGGCAGCTGACCACTACAGTGAGCAGATGGCCCAGCAAGTGAACTTGCCCACAGACACGCTCCAAGAGTTGCTGGACCTGCACGCAGCCTGTGAGAGAGATGCCATTGCAGTTTTCATGGAGCACTCCTTCAAGGATGAAAACCAGGTGTTCCAGAAGAACCTCGTGGTAATTTGTCTCAGTATTTACACTTTGTGACTGTCCCCCTTGAAGAATCAAGCCTAGAAGTGCCTTTATTGACCCCATGGCTCATCTCTCACTCAAGGATAAAGTAGTCTGGATTCTTAGGAGGGATAGAATTTTAGAGGACTAGATTTCCTTTTTTTTCCTCCCAAACCTCAGGCACTTTATCTAAAAATCTCTCTGATGAAAAGAAGTAAAATCAGTACAGATTGCTTCCTGAAGTGAATACTTCTATGGATTCCAAGCCTGGTCAGAATACCCAAAAGTCATTCCTGAGGTGGTCGCTTTTTCTTAGAACACACTCCAATTCCTGGGAACTAAAATTTCTCTTATCAGACCATCAATCCAAGCCATTTTCGACTTATTTTTCTCCTTGCTGTATCAATGTATCACTGAAGTTAGAATCACTGAGGGCTACAGCTGCAGGGACCACAGAGATTAGGTAATGCAACGCCAGCATTTCCTATGCAGGACTTGAGACCCAGGGAGGTTAAGAAGCTTTCCCATAGTCTTGCAGAGAGTTTTCAGGGTTGTAAGTAAAGCAAGTCTTGTGATTCTTGTTTTGTCCCATGTCCTTCTTCAACACAATATTTTTCTCATGAGGACCACAGTCAGACCAATTCCTCTTCCAGATTCTTTGGAATTTTATCTCCTCTGTTCCTTTCTTCTGGTGACATCCCTCTACATTTCCCTTGCAGGAAATCATAAAGAATAAGAAGGAGGGTTTCTTGAGGCGGAATGAAGAGGCATCTGTTAAATACTGCCAGGCTAAACTTGATGAGCTTTCAAAGGCCCTAATGGAAAGCATTTCAACAGGAATATTCTCTGTTCCTGGGGGACACAAGCTCTACACGGAAACAAAAGAAAGCATTGAACAGGACTATCAGCAAGTGCCCAGGAAAGGAGTGAAGGTGAGGAAGAAGGGGAGCATGGGGAACCTGCAGAATAGAGTCAAGAGGGTCTCCTGACAATCGAGCACAGCACCAGTTGTGGGTAATAAGAGAGCATGGGGATATTGTGACAGCTTAGCTTTTAAGGTCCGCTATTTGCTATTTATTCCCGAGGAGAGCAGAAATGTCCATTCCCCAAAAATGAGTATGGATTTCTGTAATCTACAAGGGACAGAACAGAAATTATTAATCTCTTTACCAAACAACATGACATTCAATGTACCAAGTGCTGATGATTTACAAGTTAAAGTCAGATCAAACGTGAGATAAAGTCAAATACATAGACAATTGCATACAGAGTGATAACACTTATGAACCTGCTTTCGATGCAAATAATCCATAACCAATCTATAAATCAAATTTGGGGTGAGTTTATTATGAGCCAAATTTGAGGACCACATAGCCTGGGGCCTTCCTTCCCCAAAGAAGGAAGAGACCCCAAAATGTGGAGCGTACAGAGTGGTTATATGTTGTCAAAGAGCGTGCATCACATATGAGTGGAATGTCTCTTTTTACAACAGTCACGAGATTGTCTAGCCTGCCTAGCAGGTGCAGCAATTCACACAGCAATAGATGAACACAGCAGGTAGCAGGTCTGTGGTCTCTACCTGGGTGGTCACAGCAAGTCAGCAATCAAACATTAGCCTGGACAGAGAGATGCTTATCCTTAAGGAAATGCTGGTGTGGGGGAAGTTGCAGCCTTATCTTAAGGGCATTTGTTCTTGTCTTTGGGACAGGGTAAATGCTTAAAGCAGATATATACAACACATGTTCAAAGGCCACCTCAGGCCCTTTTTGGAAAAACAAGGTCAGGCTGAATTAGTTTTACACCAAATGGCTTCCTCATATACTCCAATATATCCTATTGCTTGCCATTTATTTATCACTGCAAAAATGTGCTACATTGGTAGTGGTAACACATAATAATAAAAATAATAGTGCTACTAATATATATTGAACTATTATTGCCTATAGGCATAATGTTAATCTCTTTCCCTAGACTCTTTAATTTAAGCCTTGTAATAGCATTAAGGAGCATCTACATTTATTGTCAACATTTTATAGATCTGAATTTAGGGACACAGACAGGTTAAAATAACTTGCCTAAAGTAACAGCCAGCAAGTGGCAAAGGAGGGCAGCAGCACAGACTAAAAGAAACATTTTTCAGGGCCAGCCCAGTGGCGCAGCGGTTAAGTGCACGCACTCTACTTTGGTGGCCCAGAGTTCACAGGTTCTGATCCTGGACGCACACCGACTCACCACTTGTCAAGCCATGCTGTGGCAGCATCCCATATAAAGTAGAGGAAGATGGGCATGGATGTTAGCCTAGGAGCCAATCTTCCTCAGCAAAAAAGAGGAGGATTGGCATCGAATGTTAGCACAGGGCTGATCTTCCTCACACACACACACACAAAAAGCAACATTTCTCATTGGGAGGACAAAAGTCACCCATTCATTCAAAAGTCACCCTTTTCATTGGGAAGGCAAATATATAAAAGCACCAGAGACTGTGGGTTTGTAGAACTGAACATAGTTCTGACTGGCTGGAACCAGAGTGGGTAGAAGGAAGCAACACTGGGAGAGAGACTGGAGAGAGTCAGGAAGCAGGAAATATGGAGAATCTGGTCACTCTGGTCACTTGGACTCTGTTGGGGGAGCCACTGTGGAATTTTAAGCATGAAGCAAAAATGACATGAATGTACCTGTTTTTTCAGCACTGGTCTCCCCAGTGGAAATCTAAATTCTTTTCCTTTTCTTGGTTCCTCAGGCGAACGAGGTCCTCCAGAGCTTCCTGCAGTCGCAGGTGGCAATAGAGAACTCCATCCTGCAGGCAGATAAAGCCCTCACTGAAGGAGAGAAGGCTGCAGCAGGTACGGGGCAGGGCTCAGCTCACAACGGGGCCAGTGGATTCCTGCGGTGTCCTTTGACAGGTGTGAGAGCAAAACCTTCCTGAAACAGGGAGCTTCCTCTCCTTCTGTGGAACAAACTGCTAAATCTGAAAACAATAAGGAGAGTTGTGGTTGTATATCAGCTAGACAGGGCATTTCTCATCACATTCTCAAATGTGGTTTTGATGGTGTGGATATGGGGAAATTCAGAGATTTCCCACCTCCCTTTTCAAATTTGGTTTTGTCTCTGAGCTCAGAAGGGCAGATGTCAGTCCTCACTTAATTTTCTTCCTTTTCTAAAACTTTCCCGGGGCAGTGGAGCGGGCCAAGAAGGAGGCAGCTGAGAAGGAACAGGAGCTGCTAAGACAGAAACTACAGGAGCAGGAGCAGCAGATGGAGGCGCAAAAGAGGAGTCTCCAGGAAAACATAGTCCAACTGAGAGCGAAGCTGGAGAGGGAAAGAGAAAACTTACTGAGAGAACAAAAGATGATGTTGGAACATAAACTGAAGGTAAGTCGGGCCGTGGCCTCAGTAGTGCTCGATGATCATCGCGATCAGGAAGGGATGGGTGCAGGTCACAGCAAGACGTGGAAGGAAGCATCATTGCCATTTACCACTTGTGATTTATAAAAACCCTGAATCCTTCTCTTTTTTTTTTTAAAGAAGCCTTTGAATGCTACATTTTACATAGACTCTAGAGAGTTCCGGATGAGTATAGACTCTCCAAGCCCTTGAAGAATATGAATGTGGTTTGAGCTGCTGTTTTGGGGGATTTTAAAATAATCTCATGAGGCCTGATTAAACAGATATTCCAACCACGAGTATTTAATATGAGCAGCAACTGGTTTGCTTTACCAAGACCACTGCCCATTATCAGGAACCCTACTACCCACCAAAGACCCTTAGGTAGATCTATGCTGACATAAAACTGCTATCAGAAATGTTCATACTTAAAACACAGGGAAGTGACAGCTTCTAAACTTGCTGCATTGTCTCCAGGTGTAGATAGTCTACCCACTTTATCATATGGCATAGGAGGAATTCTCTCAGTATCCATCTGAACATGTTTATACAGATTTCTGGAACAGCTTGAAGTTCCCATTATTTCTACAATTTGGGTGACCGTACCATCCTAAGTGGGAGTAAGAACTACTGCAATCAGATGTCGACTGGCATTTTTTGACTAGAACATGTTACATTTGTCCTCATGTCAGGCTTAGTATCCTAGCAAGACCCTAATGGTATATGAATGTTATTAAGGCTGTAAAGTATGCTTCCTCTCAATGCTGTAGTCCAAGCCAGGAGAATTCCTTGTTTCAAAATCCTCCTTTCATGATTGAGTAAGAATAATTTTAAAAGTAAAAGGAAGATAGTTTGACAAGGTTCTTGAATATAAAACATAATGTTGAAAAAATGGAGATTTTACATCTTTTTTCATTTTTGCTTTTTAGGTCCAAGAGAGTCTGCTTAATGAACAATTTAGAAAGAAAGCTGAAGAGATGAATGCAGAGATAAATCACCTGAAAAATCTGACTGATAGTACTAAAAATGATGAAACCCCCTGGATTGCACGAACCTTGGACAAACTTGGTGATGAAATCACTTCAATATTGTCTGCTCCTGCCAAACTTCTTGGTAGTGCTGTGAAAGGCTTGGGCTCACTATTGAAGAAGTAGCTCTCTTTTTAAAGAAATTATACAGTGTGGATATATGCTCTGGCCTATTTTTGGTTGTGTGCTTTTCGCTTTTATTCAGCAAATTTTAAACATAAAAAGTAGCTACTAGAGGATATCAATGCACAGCCTACATTAGATAGAATAAATGCACATACACATTGATATAGCTGGTTCACTTTTAAGAAATGTACATGTGCAAAATACTGCCTCAATGGACCTATAGTATATACATTGAGCCAGTGCTTTTAACGGCAAAAGTTGGTAACTACGTAAATATCCATTTATATAAATTGGTAATATGTATACTGGAATACTATGTAGCTAGTAAAATAAATTGAGTGGAGCTTTATTTGTATGAATATAAAACAATCTTGAAAATATATTGTAAATTGAAAAAATGAGCTGGAAAACAATGTGTATAATGTGTTCACCATAAAAAATATAATTATTATGTGCAACAATACATATGAATGCATAGAATATCTCTGGAAAGATTCATTAGGAGCTGGTAACATTGGTTTCTTCTGGATAGAACTGGGTGGGATTAAGGGTAGAAGAAATGCCTGCTTTTCATTATATACTCGTGTTAAGAAAGCTTGTATTACTATTTCATAAATAAATAACAAAGAAAATGTAAAGTATAATGCTAATAATGATAATAATAAAAGGAATGTGAAATTGACTATTAGATGGTGAAACTGCCCTTTGCTTCTAGAAATGACATCAGTCTGATCAATGAGGAATCTAAGACTAAGATCAGAGCACAAGAAAGCAGAAAATTTGCATCCTAATCTTGTTTTCCTTTTGGCCTTGGTTTTTAATCACTTATATTTACTTCAAAACTAAGATATAAACCCTGTTGCCCTTTCAAATATCAGCTAAAATAGCCTCTACTTCCTACCTTTGAATTGCACTGTTATGGTGTTAGAAGTAAATTACCAAACATAAGAATATGCATTGATAAGAGGAATCTCCTCATCCTTAAAAGCGCAGTGGTGGCCTCTCTGCTGTAGGCAAGAGTGGAAGGGACAATGTGCCATTGCAGAACTAGACAACCTGATAGTATTGGGAGCGATAAGCTCTGACCCACGTAGGCCAGGTGTTGGCACTTAAATTTCAGAAGCCCAGTACATACAATGATAGTAATGAGCATCATAGCTTGTCTTAGTCAGTTCAGGCTGCTGTAACAAATTACCATAGACTGGGTGGCTTAGACAGCAAGTGTTTATTTCTCCCAGTTCTGGAGACGGTAAGTCCAAGGTTAGTGTGCCAGCATTGTTGGGTTCTTGGTAAGGGTCCTCTTTCTGCTTCACAGATGGCTTATTTCTCTTCACATGGTGGAAAGAGTAGGGAGAGAGTTCTCCCAACTCTTTGTTATAAGGGCACTAATCTGATTCATAAGGCCCCCATTCTCGTTACCTAATTACCAGTCAAAGCTCTGCCTCTAAATACGACCACATTGGGACACTAGGGGTTAGAGTTTCATCAAATGAATTGGGGGGGAACACATTCAGTCTATAACATGGTTGGAGTGACAGCTAGCTGGTCTGGATCAGTAAGAATTCTGAAGATAATGAGTAGAACAGGACATCTCTAGAGTCAAAAGAAATGGGAGAAAGCAATCAAATGGAGTCAAGGATGTTTATCAGGATGCTGAGAGGTAGCCCTGATAAAATGTCACAATCCTTACCCTTGATCTGAGCCAATTTCAGACCATGAACCTATCAGCTGGAGGGGAGGCAAGATCCCAATGCATAGGACCCTGGAACTCTGGGACAAGGATAAATGATAATGATTTTCACAGTCTTCCCCCTAGAGGACCTCTGGCCATTTACTTGATACCTTTGTACTGAGGAATGGGAATGCCCAAACATTTCAAGGACTTGTGCAATCAGAATCCAAGTTGGCATTGATACTAGACACGGGAAAGTCATCTCAGTCTCCCTGTCAAAGCAGGGGCCCACGGCATCCAGGTAATCAATGCAATCCTGGCCCCCGTGCAACTAATTGGGGTCTAGTATTTGTTTTCAACTAGAAGTACAGTTCATCTGAGGAGAGGGACAATTACACGTTTTTCTGTACATCTCCTCAGAGCATGTTTAGGCAAAGAATGTATTAAATTAGCATCTGCTGGAAAAACAAAATTTGACACATGTGTGATTGTTTTTAATTGCCAGAATTCCATGAATACTCCAATGATCTGAGGTAATAGATAATTTTGGATTTTTGGCACTAGATTAAGGTTCTGTAAGGTGATTTAAAGGCTAGCATAACAAAAGAAACTTTTCTGGTGAAGTCTCCTCTCTGTGACCTCGTGTATCACAGTTTCTGTGCCTTGTGAGGATGTTAACACATCTGCACTGGAGATTTTAAATTGCTCTATCTGCCTATGGCTTCAAGTGTTCAGAAGGAAGAATGGCTTTGTCTTTTTTAAGAAAGAAAGAGTACGGTAATGAATATGTGGCCAATAAATGGTGGGGTTTAACAGAAAAGTAAGCTATTGTATTCAAATATCTATTCCCATTGAGAGCTTGAATCAAAGAGATGCTCTAATCCCTTAGAGACATCCTGAATTGGAGAAAAAGAAGAAAAAGGCTTTCAGAAGTAGTTGTTTTATTCATGCATCTATTCTAATACTCATTAAGGAATCCTTAGTTTCAATTATTTGCACTATTTGTTAAATTCTCACTCTCTACCTGGCATTGTCTTGGATTCTGTAAAGACAGAAAGGTAAAGCTTATGCTCTATGGGTATCTTACAAAATAAACAAAAATAAATAATGTTATTTAGGGAGTAATAAATGCTGCAAAAAAGAAATTTCTTTTCTGGTTAGAGATTAGGAGTCAGAGTGGAAACCAAGAGTCCTTTTCTAAGTTCAGCTTCAGACTAATTCTAATTGCCTGGAAATATAATTGCCTGTTTCTTGGGGAAATATTTATTATTGAGTCCTAAGGACCAAATACGATAACATTACAGCATAGTAAAACTCTGTGTCCATGGGGATTGAAAGAATGAATAAATACATGAATGGTTGGATGAATGAATAAGTTTTACACTTGTTTATCATTTCAAGGGGTAATAAACATCTCTCCTATTACTCACAGTCAAAAAAGTAAAGATTTTTGCTGAGAATGTTCTGTTTTTGGAAATGAAGGAACGAAAACGTGAAAAAGTTTCCAAGTAAAAGGATGACATTAATAGACAGATATAAGACTCTCAGTACCTGAATTGGAAGCAAGTACAATGTGCAGGGTTTTTCACAAAGCAGAACTTGGGCTTTGTAACTCTGAACCCCAGAGTCTCAAAAAGAGGTTAATCGAAAAAATTTTGTAGTAAAGACCTTAAGTAAATACTCAAAGTGATTTTCCATCTTAGGTCTGAGTGATTATCAAAAGTAAATAAACTTGTCAAAAATAAGCCGATGAATTTTTCTCATAGCAACTTTTCTCTGTCTCTCTAATACCAGTATCTGGAGTCGACATCATTGCAGGTCTTGGCTTGTGTGCTCTGAGATCTGCTCTGCTTCTAACTTACTGCTCTTTATTGCAGTGGAAATGGCATCTGAAGCACCATACCCCATTTCTCCTTTTAGTTGGCTTCCTGCTGGGTTCAGTCAACCTAGGAGGCACTGGATAAAAATTGTGAGTAGGAAGGAAAAGACAATTTGGGGGATTTCTCTACCTTCTTGTGTCTCAGGTGGTATCTGGGAGCAGGCTCATCTCTTCCAGTGCTCCAACTCCCACAAGACAGGCCCTGTGTGCTGTCACTTTCTGCTGGATGGCCCAGGCCTCTGGGCTTCGGTATCACCACCTTGTCACTTGTCTCTCCAGCCTTAGATTGTTGCTTTTTCCTGCAGTAACTTAACCCTGGTTTGCCTCCTGAGACCCTGTTTCCATGACTGTATTATGACCGACATATCAACTCTGGAATGTTCTTAGCATCTCTTTTTTTTTGGAAGTGTGGCCTCCTACTCAGCATTGTTATTTGAATGGAATCCTTCTTACTTCAGACAATAAGATCCTATTCCCTGAGCACATTTTTTGTGCCACTTGTCCCATGCTGGACTGAATATGGTGCCTACTCTTGGCCCAGTTGATCAGTCCAGAAAAAAGCATCTGGTCAAAAGTGAAGTAATGAATGCCCTCCTTGATATGTTTTGAATAAGAGGGGGCCTAATCTCTCTGTGTCTCTATTGCCTGTCTGTGAATATATAAAATGCAGAAACTACCAAGTTCTATTTTCCTTCCACCTAAAATATTTAAAAAATTTTTTCATTGTTGTCTAATATACACAGCATAAAATTTACCATTTTAACTATTTTTAAGCATAAAATTCAGTGGCATTAAGTATATTCACACTGTTGTGTAACCATCACCACTATCTAGTTCTAGCACCATCTCATCATTCCAATCTGAAACTCTGAATCCCTTGAACAATAAGTCCTCCTACCCCCAAGCCCTAGTAGGGTAACCACTAGTCAACTTTCTGTCTCTATGAATTTAACTACTCTGGATGCCTACTATAAATGGCATAATAGAGTTTTTGTCTTTTTGTCACCAACTTATTTCAGTTAGCAAAATGTCCTCAGGTTTATCTATATTGTAGCATGTGTTAGAATTTGCTTCTTATTTAAGGTTGACTAATACTTCATTGTATGTGTACATCACATTTTGTTTAGCTGTTCATGTCGATGGATACTTGAGTTACATCTACATTTTGGTTTTTGTGAATAATATGCTGCTATGAACATTGGTGTACTAATATCTCTTCAAGATCCTGCTTTCAATTATTTTGGATGTATACCCAGAAGTGGAATTGCTGAATCATATAGTAATTCTATTTTAATTCTTTGAGGAATTGCCATGCTGTTTTCCATAATGGTTGCACCATTTTACATTCCCACCAACGGTGCACAAGTGTTCCAATGTATCTGTATCCTGGCCAACACTTGCTGTTTCCGTTTTTTTTCATAGTAGTCAGCCTAATGGGTATAACGTGAATTTTATTCCTTTTTAAGGCTGAATATTATTCCATTGCATATGTATACTGAATTTTGTTT